TGTGTGTGCCCGGCCTGGGTGGACAGGCTGATGCGGGCGTAGGGGTCCGCTGTGCCCCCCGGGCCCCTGGCCCTCAGGTCCACTGCCTGCTTGAGGCCCACCTGGATCTGGAGCCAACGGTGACTCAGCCGGGGTCCCCCTGGTCAGCCCCGCACCCGGCCCCTCTCTGAGCCCGCAGCTCCTCTGGGCCTGCCGTGCGGGGCCCTCACCTCCTGGCTTCCAAAGTCGTACTCCAGGGAGAGCTGCAGGCGCCCCCACTGCTGGGCTCCCCCCGGGCCGGACTCCACATCGTCCACCTCCGGCTGCACCTGGCATGGACCAAACCCCATCAGAACCCTAACTGCCCACCCTGGGACCAGGCCACCAGAAGGGCTCACCCTCAGCTCAACTGACCGGCCAGAACTGTGGCCCTGCCCCAGCCCATTGTTGGCACCACTGCCTCCCCAGAACATGCCGTGGCCCCACTGGTGCAGGGCCCACTCTGGGGGTGGCATTCCCGGGCCCTGGGCCCTGGCCTCCCCCTCCCCTCTGCTCCCTGCCTCCCCTGCCAGGAAGGCCCTCTGGCCTCCTCTCCTGGGCAGACCCGCTGCTGGGGGCTGAGCTCATCCTGACCGCCCTGAGCCTAGACCTTCAACTGTGGTCTGGGGCTGACCCAGCCGGGTGCTGGGCATGGGAGCGCTGGTGCCCGCTCCTCACCAGGTGGGTGGTGGTGGCGCCCCGGACACTGCCCAGGCCCACGGCCTCTTTGTCTCGGGGCTTCCTCCTGCGGGCTCGGCGACAGCAGCAGCAGACGACGCAGAGGAGGCAGGAAGCAGTGAGGATGGCGGTGGCGACAGCGATGGCCACCAGTGCCCATCGGGGCCCTGGGGTGGGCACAGAGATGGGCCTGAAATGCCCCTGTGGACAGCACTGCCCCCCACCCAGCCTGGCCAGCCCCAGGCCCCTCCCGGGTCCCACAACTCACAGGGAATCCTGGCAACGAGGTCCGGAATGAGCCCGGATTCAGCCGTGGTGCCCATGGGGGCCGGGGCACTGGGGGGGCCTGGGGGCTGCCCCATCTCCACACCCTGCTGGCTTGGAGGAGATGGCCAGGGCGGCCGGG